TATATGTATATATATATACATATATCTCTGATTGGTATCGGTCCGATATTGGAAAAAATTTCAGGATCAAACATTGCTAACTTAACTTTTTTCTGATCGCACTGATATCGGTATCGGCAGATATTCCAAGTCGCAGTATCGGTATCAGACATCCTAATCCTTGTTATGACTGTGTTCTGTCTATGCAGACAGATGTTGAATCAACAATCCTTTCCTCTCAGCAGGATTAGTTCAATAACACGTGCGTCGCCGTCCGCTCTTGTTCTACTCGTTCATACCCTCGTCACTTCACCGTTCCCTGGAAATTGCTCCTCAAAGTCTTCGGGAGAAGAATACCTCTTGGAATAAATCTTTGAACAGCTGCTGTGAGCTGTGTTCCCCAGCCTGTACGATTTGCCTACTTCGTCCTTGACTAGTAAACACGAACCCCCCCCTCCCGGCTTGTCCCTTCACCTGCTCCCTCAGAGCACATCAGCTCACTAACGCTCTTGGGTTTATTGGTAGGGAGGTCAGGGAGGCTCTCGGGCGCGTTGAGGATTCAGCACGCTGCTACAGCTGCAGCAGGAACCTCGCGCGGGAAAGGCAGAGCGGGACTCGTGTGAACTTATTCAAATGAGAGTGAGCCTTTGATGCATGGCATGGGCGAGTTTTGTTGAAGGTCCCACTGGACGGTGCTGTTGACAGTCTCAGGTTTTCTAATGAGAGCAGTCATGGCATGTGCCCCCGGGCTTGGTCACAATCACTTGGTGTAATTCTCTGATCACTCCCTCATGCTTTTTTTTTTTTTATCTCGTCTCGTCTAAATGGGGCCTTGGAAGTCTTTTCGAAAACGAAAGGCAAATACAGAACAGGGTCGTGTGAACCGGTTCACAGCGGTGACATGGGTGTCCACTGAATCATTCATCATGGCTCACTTAGGGGTTTTTTTTTCTCTCCAAGGATTTCCTCAGGAGCGACTGATACCTTGGGTCCACTCTAGCTGCTACTGCGGCAGAATCGCATTTTTTGGAGGTATTATAAAGCTTGAGCGCAGCCTACCACAAACCTGAGATGAATTCAGAAGCAACCATGACAACAGTCACCTCCCAGCCTCCTGAGAAATCATCGGTATAAATACTGTAGCACGTTTGCTTTGGCCATTTAAAAGTTGTCAGCGAAAATAGAAATGCGTGGACTAGAGGGAGGTGGTGTCAGCAGAGACTCCAAAATGTCTCTCTGCTGTTACAGCAAGAACATCTCTGTAGCTTAAATGTGATTTGGATAGCTGCCTGAGGTAGCTACATATATATATATGTTATGGCAATCGGGGCGGAGCTACCCCTCCTACCACCGACAGGCCAGGTGGTAGCAGCCCCTGTATACTATCTTCGCCGGAAAGTCATGTCATGTTATTAATAACTTGTATTATCAGGGTTAAATGTGATTATTAATCACATAGTGATGCAGTACAGAAGTTTGTCATAAGAAGAAGAAAAGAAAAAAAACAGGTCAAATTCTCTACTTTGGCAGCCCTGCCTTTCAGTACTGCTGTGAACAGTGGATGATTGACAGACATTTTATCAAATCCTCTCTATAATTACCTTTACTCCGAATCACTTAGTTTGTGTCAGTGAAAGAACTAACTCTGTGGTCATGAATGAGCTGATTTAAAGTAAACACATTTTCTATAGATAGATATAGCAGAAATAACTATTAACTAAAAAACTATTTGAAAAATACAATGGTGAGACAGCTAGTTGGCATTTTGTATTTAAATTATTTATTTTTGTAGATTTTCACCAATGAGCGTTTCTGTTACAGTCGTCAAAGCACGCGGTTTCTATCAATGAAAAAGTTCTAAGAGGCTGAACCAACGCAAAAAAAAAGAAAAGAAAAGAAAAAAAAATAATATGAATGTCGGCGGTCAAGTGTAGGGGGCCCGCTGATATTGGAACATTTGTATAACGGAAGTAGAAATACGTTGTACGGTCCTTATTTCCGGTTGTGGGTCCAGCCCACGACACGAATGTTAGCCGTTTGGGCTTCCAGCGGGCGTTTAAGTCGAAAAAACAGGACACGGTGGCTACATGTGATTGATTGTAATGGTGGGTTTTTGAAAACAATTGTCGGTTGTATTTTGTTTGAAATGGTAGACGTTCGGTCGAGACCGTTAGTGCAATTTACGCTAGCATATGTGTCTCGGTAGCTAACGTTAGCTTTTGTCAGAAGCTGATGCACCTTTTTGAAATTAACTTGCAAATATTTCTTCTCTGTACAGAAACCCACGCTACTGCGGGACCACGAAGGGTCCATCACTCAGATGAAGTACAACGGAGAGACTTTCTGTTTTTCCGTCGCTAAAGATCCAGTGAGTGACACGAAATGATTGCGCTTAACAAGTGCCACCAATAGATACATAAATAGGACTTTGTTAATCCCTCCGAGTTTCCTTCGGGAAATTTAAGGTCCAGCAGCAGTACAGCACCAAAACAACAGCAAAAACACACACATAGGGAAACTGCAATAAAATACGAACATGAGTAGCAGCACACTTGTCAATGACAATGGGAAACCTAAACAGTGGGTGGATGTTAGTAAATTAGTAGGTGAGATATATATGTATACGTGTGTATATATATATATAATTCAATATTATATGAATATTATTAAAAATCACCCAAAACATGCCTTACTATATCCTTACCATTGTGAAAAATCCATAAAAATAAAAAGTCCCCAAAATGCCTTAAAATGCAAGACTATGTCCTAAACATGCTGCCAAGTGAATATTTTGTGTTTAAAAGTCCAGAAAGTATTTTATATAAATATTTCAAAAATCACCCAAAACATGCCTTACTATAGCCTTACCATCGTGAAAAAATCCATGAAAATAAAAAGTCCTCGAAATGTCTTAAAATACAAGATTAGGTCCTAAAACATGCTGCCAAGTGATTATTTTATGTTTAAAAGTCCAAAAAGTATTTTAAATAAATATTTTAAAAATCACCCAAAACATGGCTTGTCAATCACTAGGTACACACTAACCCTAACCAAGAAATGCATATTCCAAGTAGAAGAAGAATAAGAGATGAACGGTAAAGGTGAATATCTCTTTGGTCACTGTTAATGTAGTAGTTTGTCAAATTGTCTCCCAACCAATTAGATAGAGTAGATAGATTAGAGTGGGTGTGGCCTATATTCAAACTGCTATTGAATATATCGTCACAAATAAGCTATGTTAATGAATCTGTGTACCTTGTCATTGACAAACTAGTGAGCCTACACCTGGTGGATTGCAGATGC